TCAGGTACTCCGACCCAACATACGCAGCAGGCGGGACCCTCTAAGGGTCAAGCTGTGTGGGATTACTTGTGAGTGGACTTTTCTTTTGAAACTCAGTATGATTTCATTTATGAAATTATGGCATATAGTTTTATTTTGGTTATCAAGAAATTTATATATGCTTGACTGAACGTTTAAAGTTTTTATAAAACTTATCGTAATATTTGAATTCCGAGGAAACATTTTTGCATGTGTCTATGCATGGGGTACGTGATGGTGGGCATGAGCTATGGTAAGGTAATATTTGATTTGCTGGTTGGAGTGCGTTAAGCACTAATTCATGTACCTCCCCTGATCTGAGTTTGGTTACGGATACTGAGTATGTTTGAAATTATGAGAACTCAGAGCATCCTTGAGGGGATGTTGCTGTGGACCCTGGATTTGGGATAGTCTACGCGCGTAGGACTGGTATTTCAGGCGTACAAGCTTTGACTGTGTCGGCTGTACGTGCTGGCTGAGAGTTCGTTCCCCAGTTGGACGGCTCGTTCCCTAGACACATGGTGAATTGAGGAATGGCTCTGCCATGTGGACTAGTCAAATAGTCCCCCGGTTGGATTGTTTCCCCGGTACAAATAAATATTGGTTACACTCATGTACTCTTAGTATTAATAGTATTATTATTATTATTTTGTTACCTTATATATGTAGTATGTATATAGTTACATGTATGTATGCATGTTCTTTGGTTCTATTTCTCGGTAAGGATACTTCCTCGCCGGTCGTACCTGTGAGAATGTTTATGAGAATCTAACCTCTCGGAACTTTTAAGTCGAGTGGTGGGCTTCGTGAAGTATTATTCACGGATTACGAATTTGAGATCCGGTATAAATGTGTTAATATGTATGCATGTACTGTTTATGTTGTTTTGTTATGCTTATGGTTTCTTTGCATATAAAAAGTGGGGGTTATACTATTTTATTTTCACTTGAACTAAACTTGATTTTTGTCCACTCACAACTTTCTGTTTTGCGCCCCCAGCCAGTAGCGACTGAGCTTTGCAGTTGAGCCGGACCGGGTGCATTTTGGAATTCGAGTCTTCGTAGAGACTCTTGGTACCTTTCCCTTTCCGTTGACTCCAGCAGCACCACCACGTCCAGCTGGAACTATTCCTCGTCCGTTGCCAAGAAATCGTCCACCACGACCTCTGGTAGTGACAAAAGCATTAATAGAAGTAGCCTCCACAAGGGGAGCAGCGTGCTCAGTCATCCTCTTTTCTGTAGTCAGTAAGAGCGCCTCAAGCGTAGGGTACGTGATGGGAGTATCACGTGCCTGAGCAGCGTTCACTGTCATCTCATAAGCAGGTCCAAGATTGTTCAAGATAATCTGGACAAGTTCATCATCACCCACAGGTTTGCCAGCTAGGGCAAGGTTATCAGAAATAGCATTCATTTTATCAAGATAATCAGCAATCGACAAATCACCTTTTTTGGTTTGTATAAGTTCATTCCGCAGAAACAAGATGCGATTCTGGGACGTAGAAGCATAACGTTGCTCGAGAGCCTCCCAGGTAGCACGAGAGGTCCTCTTGCTGGCCACGACCGAGAGCACAGACGGCGTGAGAGAGCCATTAATCCAGCTGAGTATCATTTGATCGTACTCAACCCAGGTTGTGTAAGCAGGATTGGTAGTTGTACTTCCAGAAAGCTGCTGGGAAGGACAAACAATGGTTCCATCAACATAACCCATCAGGTCCCGACTCCTGAGAATAGGTAAGATCTGAGCCAACCACAAAGGATAATTGGTACGATCCAGCTTAATGTTTACAACTGAGGTCAAGGAAGAGAAGGGGTTCATGGTGGAATTTGGGAGAGTGATGTTGATAGTTTGGGTGGAGTCACTGTTGCTAGAGTCGGCCATGGAAGCAGAGAAAAAAAAAAATTGGATCTGTGTCTTTAGACTGCTAGGGCTTTGATACCATGTAAGGCTTAGAGAAGGATGTGTGATCTCAATTGCATTCCCCAATTAGTAAGGGCTGCATGTATTTATACTTCATTCAAGATTACATCAGGAACTGAAATCCCTATTTACAAGGCTATTTGAAATTCAAACAATACAACAGAAACAACACACTTAGATTTACACGCAATGAAATATTTAAAAGAGTCTTAACCAAAACTAACTCTTGGTGGATAGCAAGTTGACTTGATCACAAACTCTTGAAACCGTAGGCAGAGGAGGACTTGGTCTAACAGTTCAAACTTTGGATGCAAGTGTAAAAGTTTAAGCGTGTTAACTAAATTTCAATACGTCCATTTGAGATTTGACTATGAATTTCGAATTATCCAATCTTATAGTATGCCCCACACGTGTAGATAGTTCCATAGAAATCAAGTCAACATCAATATGCGTCAGCAATTACATCACTTAATATTTTCCTGCTCTCAACGCTTCTCATATAGTCCTTAACTTTATTGTTAAGCTTTCATTTCATTTCATTTGTGTTTTGTGTCATTACTCGCTAGTCAGTTTCTCACCATGGAAACCTGGTTCCTTATCCTCGCCGCACTCTGCATCTCTTTTCTCCTCAAACCCCTTCTCAGTCTCTTCATCCCCTCCATTTCCAAACCTACCGATCAACCCAAACTCCCTCCTGGGCCCACCCCCATCCCGGTCATCGGCCGGTTGTTATGGCTCCGAAGATCCTTCTCCGAAATCGAGCCCATCCTCCGAAACCTCAGGGCCGAATACGGGCCCATCATCACTATCCGCATCGGCTCCCGCCCCGCCGTCTTCATCGCCAACCGC